GCTGCGCAGAATATATGTCAAGAGAATACAAACTACTTGTTAAAGTTGACTACTCTAATAAACTATTTTCTAATTAGTAATTTTACAAGATTTTATGTGCTTCAACCAAAAAATTAATCTAGTTCACCAACACACCTCAAAGCTCTGATACTAATTTTGCACCTTTTTGCTAGACATATCACCTTCCAGACAGTAACCTGATAAAGGCAGCATTCTCTCATAGGTGTTTTCCTTCTTATTTTTAAATTCCTTCCAAAAAAAAAAGATAATTATTGAACATTTAAAAGAAGACATCAAGCCAAACACAAAAGGTTAGAGACCTCGGAGCCAGGAAGACCTGAGTTCATATCTTGCTGTGCTAGACACTTACTGGTTGTGTGACCATGGGCAAGTTACTCAATCTCTTTTAGCCTCACTTTCCTCATCTGTAAAATAGAGCTAACAGTAACACCTACCTCTCAGCATTATTGTGAGGATCTTAAAGTGCAACATAAAGGCTATTATTATTATTATCATAAAAGATCTCTAAGACTGGCTCAACAATCAGATCTGCCAGTTCTTTTGATACTATGAGCCAGATGACCTGAACTCATCAGGGGTATTGTAGTATAGTATACAGAATTCTGGAGCTGGAGTCAGGAAAACCTGGGTTCGAATCCAGACTCTGACCCTTACTCATTTGTATGCCCATAGGCAAGTCATTTAATCTCTGTAGGCCTCAATTTCCTTATCTTTACAGTGGAGACAATAATAGTCATAGCACCTGTCTCACAGGATTACTGTGAGGATGGAATGAGTTAATGAATGTAAAGTCCCCTGGAAACTTACAAGGGCTCTATAAATGTTGCTTTATTATTATCCCCTTATTTACCTTGGGTAACAACTTCCAACCTAGACATTGTTATTCTGCCCTTTCCAGTCCAAAGATCATTTTCCACAAGAGAACCAGAAAAATATCTATCCTTAGCAATTAGCCAGAGGTGTCCTACAGTGTTTCTTTTTAGCAGCCGAAGCGTGAGCATTTTATGTTCTAAAAGCATAGTATGTTCTAAAAACACATTTTGTTCACTACTTCAAATCAACCACAAAAGAACTAGAAAAATATCCACCCTTGGTTATTGTTATCCAGAATTTTTCTACTGTGTTTCTTTAGAATAAGAAATCCCCAGCCTGACTGTTGCTGGATATTTAAGGTGTCTGAGAGAATAATATCCCAAGATAACAAAAGAATTTGAAAGAGGAAAAGAAAAGTTTGCAAAAAGTATTCAAATAGTCTATGTGTAATTTTAAGTGTCTGAATATCATCTTGGAGCCCAAATATACATACCTAATATGTGAAAAATTTCAAAAGACACAATACTCTTGAAATACAAAAATTTATTTAGAAACAGTTTAAACCTATAGGGAAAGACAAGGTAGAGTCTGTTTTCCAAAGTAAAATGGAATTTAGGGTAATAGGAGTCTAAAAGCACTTCTAGGAATATGATCCTAGCTCTGCTATTAGACATGTGACCTTGGGCCAGTCATTTTATTTCCTTAGAGCTCAATGAAGAGTTTGAATTAGATGATCTCTAAGATACTTGACAGCTCTAATCATGTGAATTGATGATTCCAAATTATTTTGTTAGATGGTATTTTGTTTTCAGTTAGACTGCATGATTTTCTTCGCTGGTCTTATACTTTAGGACATCCTTCTTCTGCCTTCAGGTCTTTCAAGGACAAACACAAAATTCATTCTAAAATAGTAAACCTAATTACTCTTTGTTTTTTTTTTTACTAACTCTGACAATATTCTTCTCTTTGGCCTTATCAACATAGTTATATGTAAAGTTCAAAGGGCAAAATATGTTTCCATTATTGTACTATAGATGCATTCCTGGTAGTCTGAGAAGAAAACTAGTAGATGCATGTCAAAATGTAAAGCAAGAAAATATCTCCTCTTGGTTTCTTACCTATTATTGAATAAATTCTTCTCAAAAGTATAGAAAATTAGTAAACCCCTGAGAGTTTCTTTCTTGATAACTGAATTCATATTCTGAAGAATAAGTCTATACAATAATCATCTGTAGAAGAGAATGTTGTTCTAGAATGTTGCCAGGAATTGAAGCCAAGCTCACTGAACTATAGTTTTCTGCAATCAGTTTATTTGCCTTTCTCCAGTCCTACTAACTCCTTTCCTCTATAATCTTTCAAAGATCACTGGCAGTAACTTAGCAACTTCATCTATCACATCTTTCAGGACCCTGAAACTTACATGCATACATATATACATACACACAAACATATATATATACACATGTACATATGTGTATATATATATATATATATACACATACAGGCATGAACAGGTGTCATAGAAGTGATAGTGCAGTTTAAAGCTTTATTAGCCCTTTAAACCTTATACATTTATAAATGTAGATAGAGAAAGAGAGAGATTTACCTAATAGCTGCCATTTTTGTCTAGTTCTTTGCAATCCAAACATTTTTCTGCATCTTCAGCAGAGAAAAAAGAATCAATATTAGAGTTTGAGTGCTTCTGTCTTCTCTCTACTGACTATTATCATCATTCCATTAGCTCTGGGCATTTGTTGCTGTCTCTTCTTTAATCCTTCTGGTTTTCAAAATAGCTTTTAGGGCAGTTTTCATTGACCATAATTTTCCTCCTCAGTCTCAGCTCATTCTGAGTGTTAGTATACCTATCACTCTTGTTACAGGAATATGCCACATTTTCATATTCCATGTCATATTCATATTCCACATCTTTTTAAAATTAAAGTTGTTTTCTGAGTTCCCCATGTACCCATGCTAACTTCTTTAAACATGTCGCCATTTTCCTTCTCATTAGAATTGTTTCTTTTTGTGTCTTCAGAATTTAATTCTTGAGAGCATTCTATCTGTCCTGGGATGACTTCTGTAGAATTTTAGTCTGTTGGATCCTCCTATCCTTTCTCTGAACTCTTTGAAAACTGCTCTTCCAAAATCTAGAGCGCATGTTAGACTCGACCTGGCTTTCCCCTCCTCGATTATAATTTCTAAGAGGTAGTTATCACTTCTCAAAGGTTTCCAGAATTTCTACTTCAACAACCAGTTCCTCTTGGCTGGTCAGAATCAGGTCTAGAATAGCAATTTCCCTCTGTGGTTGTTCTGCCTTTGAAGGATGAAGTTATCATAAAGGCAAGTCAAGAAATTACTAGCTTTTATTGCTTTTGACAGAGAGAGTTACAGTAAGTTTTTGGATATCTCAGACACCACCACCCCCATCACTGCTATATCATGCTTCAAGATAGACTTGTGATCTTTTTCCTAAACTCTTCTTCTATTTCCTTTATCTTCCAGTTGCTCTATAGTATATTCTGACGACTATCACTTTGATTTCTGTCCCTACTAATCTTTACCCAAATGTTCTCCACCATATAGTTACCCTCTAATTCCTTTGTATGCATACATATCTATGTATGTATATGTGTGATATATATGCATATGTGCGTATTGCCCTTCCCCCCCTTTTCTTTAACCTATCCTATTCCCTTTGAATAAGGTATACTTTTCCAATCATATTCTAGTTATGGGTGCCATCCCATAGTCTCAATGATACCTATAAGGTTAAATTTGCCTCCCAGATTTAAGATCTCTACTCCACCTTGCTTGTTATCCACATTTTATACATTTGGGTACAGACATCTAAGGCCATGGATTTTATTGCTTGCTTTCTTGAATTTTGTTTTGTGTCGATTTCTGGGCATCTCTACTGCTGTTCTTCTTACATTGTGGTGGATGCAGTGATGCAGTGATGCACAATAGATATAAGTAGGCTAAAAAAAATGTTACCAAGGATGATGTACTTGCAAAAAGTGGCATAAAGGAGATTACAGAGCATATGTATGACCATAAAATATATATGGGTCTGTCAGGTAGTAAGAATAGACAACTCAGATGGTGTATCAGTATTCTAAAAATTATTTATAGGACAGAAGGGAAACCTCCCTGGCATTTTAGTATTTTTCTATGGAGTATTTATGGGAAAACTTGTCTAAGATTGATTGACAAGGTATGTTCTATGTCAAAAGGAGAAATGAAGTCATGGGTTGTTGAAGGTACCAAATTAAATATGGTACCTAAATTATCACATCTTCAATTTATATGTATTTTGTTCTACCTCACTGTGTGTCAAAGCTAACTAAAAGTCATTAAGTCATCTTTCCTCAAAAAAATTCTTCTTTCTATCCCTTTATTGATTTTTATTTTTTTTCCTCTAAATTCTTAGTTTCTCCTCATCTAGTAAGGGCGGGCCAGGCTGGCACTTGCCATGTGACGCTATTGTTAGTCTTCCAGGGTGACAGCTGAGATATCTCCTTACCTAGCACTAAAATGAGTTGATTGCCAGAAGCCAGAGCTTGTCTGGAGCAATCCAGGAGCCAAAACAAAAATTAAAATTGTAAGCCAAAGCAACCACTCAGCAAATGGAAAACAAAACAGGCCAAGAGAAGGGATTCTTAGTAGTTGAAAAGAGCCAATATGTTAATTCCACCTTGTTAAGAACTTGTTTGGAATGTTAAGGTAAAGGCCAGGGTTCTAGGTCTGTTTCCCTCTCTGCTCCCTATGCGCTCCCTGTTGGACAATTGTTATGAGTAATATCAGCTTGCCTCCCTACTCTCTAGAATGGGGGAAGGGAGAAGTCAAGTATATAAAGGTCAATGGACACGTTACCACTCATCAAATATCAAGACCAGAATGGGACACAATTCTCTAATTAGAGTATGAAAAGCATGGAAGAACTACTTCATGATGACTATATAAAATCATAGAAATGCAGTCATATAATTGACAATATGAAATCTAATTTTTAAAAAGGCAAGATGAGTTTTTACTGTGATCAAAAGGATAAACTCCTAAGCAACATTCAGTTGAAAATACAATTTAGAAAAGTATTTTTTTCTAAATCTTCCAATGATTAAATTATACTCTCAAAATAGCTAATAATGGAAGCTAAATCCACTTACCTAGTTCAGGAGAAATCACTATGTTATTTGTCGCTTTAATATCCTGATCTAACTTATTCTCAACTTTGTTGATTTTTAACTGTGGCCTTATTTGTTTTGAGTTATTGGAAAAGTTGGAAGAGAATTTTGTAAAAAATGGCTGATAGGGTCCAGTACCCTTGAGGGGCACATTCTTGAGAAGCAGGTTCACTTCAATATAATTTAAATAAATAAAGAACAACATGGTCCAGATCAAAGATGTAAAAATGCACCCGTGGCCAAAGTGGCGAGTCCTGAGATTTCTCATTGTAATTTCAATTTCCTGAAAGAGAAGGAAACAAAAGTTTTTTTTAGAAACTTAAATGTCCTTTTAAATAAACCATTTAACTCCAATTCAATATTTTTAAAAAAACCAGCATTCTTTTGAAGCCAAATGAAAAAAACAATAATGGTCCCAGAGAATAAAAATGAAGCAAAACTGCCTAGCAGACAAGTGGGGACCTGTGGACGAAATGGTGCATACATGGTCAGACAGAGCTGCTGCACCCGATGTTTTGCTTGGCTATTTCTCTTTGCTACGAGGGAAGGTTCCATTTCAGGGGGTATTGTGTGGTATTGCATACATCCAGAAATGACTGTGGTATAGATACAAAAGGCACCAATGGAACTTATTTTAAAACACACACACACTTTTACATCAGTATCCTTTTGAAACCAAGTATTACCATGTAACATTTACAAATCTGAAGGCTATTTTTGTTTCCACCTAAATAATTCTTTCTATTTATCAATCTATTGATCTATTTATCTACACACACATACACATATGGCATCTCCTATGAGCAAGCCACTATGTAAGGCTCCACAAGGGATATAAGGATTATTGAGAGCCCCTCAGGGGGTTTACGGTCTTGATGCATAAGGCAAATACACAAATGCGTGGGCTCCTTCAGTGTAGCCCTTCCCCTTCAGTTATCCCCTGGATCATGGTTTCACAGTCAGAGGTCTGTACCATCTCCACCACCACAGCCACCAATGTTTCTCTATATACCAGACCATGTCGTGCAATAGATTAATTCAAAGCAAAATGCACGTAATAAAACAGAATACCAAGGTAATAAAAAATTGAATTAATCATGTTTGTTTCATCAGCATATTAAGTGCTCATGGCAGCCATTCCTAAATGGCTCTTACCTTCAAACATGTCCCAGAAGCACTAGCCCAAAAGTTCTGAGCTGTTTTTTGTGTCATGGACCCTCTTGGCGATCTGGTAAAGTCTATGGGCGCTTTCTCAGAATAATGTTTTTTAAATTACAAAGGAAAACGATTATATTGAAATACAGTTTTTGCAATATTTTTTAAATCCAAGATTTATGGACCCCAGGTTAAGAATCTCTGCACTAACTTATTCCCAATGAACTTTCCTGTCTCTCTAATGCAACAATAGGGAGCACATTAATTCAATCACAGAAAGGTGTGAGGGAAATTGGGCACAGCTGCAAACTTGGGAACACTGGCTGTTCAGCACAACAACTACATCTCTAGCATTGTAGAGATCACTTTTAATTCTTTTTTTGGAACAACTGCAGTCCAGAGGACCCTGGCTTCTCTTGGTGCTGTACTCCAGGGTATACTGATCTCTCTTGACACTGTAGTCTTGCTGTCATGTTAGCCCCTGATGTTAGCTTGAGATGCCACTATCATTTTTCTTCAACTCTCTCTTCATGATAAGCTGCCTCAGAAGACTCCCCAGCCTTTTTGGTTGCATGCATTGAAAACTCTCCCATTCAATCAGAGTACATACTGGGTGGTATCATCATGTACTCCTCGCTCAACTCATTCTTTTGACTTCTCTCCCTCTTCATCAGCAGCCTTGCCTCCCTGGAGATGCCTCTATCCTGGGGGCTGCTCTTGGGATTGATAAGTCCCCAGCCCGAGGGGTCCCAGCCATTTTCACTTTGCTCCAGCTCAATTCACTCTCTAGATTTTTCCACCTCCTTTTCAGCAGCCTTGCATGGGTACCCTTCCCCCAGCCCACCTTTCCATCTTCCTTGTAAGTATTGTCTTCCGATTAGCATGGAAACTCCTCGAGGATCAGGACTGTCTTATTTTCTTGTATTTGTATTGCCAGTGTTTAGCACGGTATCTGGCAAATGGAAAGTGCTTAATAAAATTCTATTTAGCTAACTACTGTCCGGTCCATGCACAGACTTCTGGTAGCTGTAGTCCAAAGAATATTTTCTTTAATAAATGAGGCTCTCTTGACCCTAAGCATTATGGGAACGCACAGATAAACTCCCTACTCATAAATGTAATGAGGCTGGCAATTTGGAGCCCATTCTCAGATCCTGCACACCAGACTCTGCCTGTTACCAAACCATGTAGATCTTCTTGGTGAACCTGCTTCTGGAAGTTCATGCTAATGTACAGTGGAAGGGTCTTGGTCTCAACTTCAGAGCATGCATAGGTATTCTATGACTGATTCTTGTTCCTGAGCCAGAACATTGTGAGAGGCTAAAGACAGCAATCTTGTAAATCACACTCTTTCTTTCTTGGTGGTGAGTGAGGCAATAAGAGCTGTAAGGCTCCAGGTGGGGAAACGGGTAGTGGCAGTGGCGGCGGCAGCCTCCTGCTATGTTAAGTCACATCTAACACTTTGTGATTCCATTTGGGGTTTTGTTATCAAAGATACTAGAATGGTTTGCCATTTCTTTCTCCAATTCATTTTACAGATGAGGAAACTGAGGCAAATAGGGTTAAGTGACTTGCCCAGGGTCATGTAACTAGTAAGTATCTGAAGCCAGATTTGAACTCAGGAAGATGAGCATTTTTAACTCCAGAGCTGACACCCTACACACTGCGCCACTTAGCTGCCCTGCAGCCTCTTGCTACCAGCTACCTATTTCCCCACCCAGAGTGATAAGTGGCCATGAATATGGTACCTCCACTTCTTTTCCTCTTTGCATTTGTTCTTTTCTGCTCTTAAGTGGAAGTAGACTATACTACATCCTTCCAATCTTCAAAGGTCAGGAGAAGTATTAGGAGTCTATGAACTAGAGGCCACTTGTCAGTAGCTAAGCCAGGTGACGGTACCACACTCAGTAGTAAGAACTAAAAGAGGTACAGGCAGGTTGCTAGTGTAATAAGAGCACGAAATCTCACTGATACAATTCTCCATATGGAAGAATCTGGGGAGCCTGATTTTGAGGGAGACAATAGTATGTAATGAATGTGCCTTAGAGAGACTTGGGAGATGTGTAGATATTCCAAACGTGTTTCTGGTATGCTAACCACGTTGCGAATGTGGTGCCTTCCAAAGGCATTAGTTGCTCTCCACCTCTCTGTTGTTTGAAACTTTTCTTAGTTTGCCTTCTTTGCTCACTGTGCCTGGTGAGAGATAACACTATGCGGAGAAGCTATAGTCCTGTGAAAATGGCCCTTGGTCTTTGGCACCCTTGGTGTTTGTTCCTTCATTTTAGGTAAACAAGATTAATTTGTTGGCCACAACATTGTGAGTTTGAAAGGTCAGAGGAGAAAGCCATCCAGCAGTCTGGAATACTGGAGTTCACGGGTCTGGAAGTTGATTTATGCTAGGTTTTGCAGTCAGCTCTTTAGTAATTCCCCAAGGATCAAGGAACAACCTTGAGGACCCATGCCCGTGGTAGCTGAGATGAGGATTCAACTGTCAGCAATGTCCTATCTGGACATAAATTTGGTGGGACCATGGCGTGTAGAAACTGTGCTGGGTCTGAGTCCACTTACTGGCCCTAGAGACTGAGTGGTGTTAGGAAGAGGAAATGTTTATATTTCTGTTCCTGTCATATCTTCAAAGGAAATATCCCTTTGTAAAAGCTAACTGATAGTTAATTGATTAAATAGAACTGGGGTGTTCGTTACTGATGACTAATTATGGGAAGAACAGACCCAGAATAAGGCATGAGCCCATAGCATTAAAAAGGAGACACCCAACAGCCCAGGAGTACATCTAGGACTCTAGGGGGAAGATGAAGCCAGCCTGGTTCTGGGATAGTGAGCCCAGAGAGCATATCCACTACAATCGGATGATTCAGAGGAAGAAAAACACATAGCATCAAGTTGAGCATTTCAGGGAAGACTTTACGAAGGAGGTAGCATCTAAGCTGAGCACTGAATGATGAATGAATTTTTGATAAAGGGGAAGATACTGCAGATAAGGGGAACAGCATGAGCAAAGGGCATAGGTATAAGAAAGTACAGAGTGGACATTAAGGAACTGTGTGTGAGTGATTCAGGTAGTCCAGAGTATAAAATATTTGGGAAGATAAGGTTGTAAGAATAGGTTGGGTCCATCTTAAGGAGGGCCTTCAATAAATTACTCTTAAATTACATCATCAGCTCCGCAGTACAAACTCATTAAATCAAGGACTACTGATCAAGATAATATGATTAGCTTTGGATGAAGAAGTTTCATTTAAAACCACAGGCACATTTGTTAGTGCCCTGGCAACCACGTTCAGCAAAATAGATGAGTTACATTCATTTATGCTTGGTTGACTTCTCTGGTTTGTTTTTCTTTCTAACATATCACTTTTCAGAGAGAAAAATAAAAACATAATCATTAACTTATTACAGTACATAGTCTCTCTTTTTTAACCCATGGAACTCAAAGCACTTTGGTTTCATTCACTCCTAAGACAATCTTCTATTATTAAAAATAAGCAGGTGAAAGAACCCACCATCCGCCTTCTCCACCTCACATAATTACAGAATCTCAGAGCTATAGCGGTCTCACAGACCATCTAGCCAAAACTATACCTGTCCAGGGATTCTTTATAAAATATCCCCCCAAAATGGTCGTCCTTGGATAACAGCCTCCAATGAGGGAGACTCGCCATTTTCCAAAAGCATCCCTCCCCTCAAGGTTGTTGTTGTTGTTGTTTGTCCTTTGTTCTCGAAGAGAAGCATGACATCAGGAAGGTGATGCTATCACTTACAAGTGAATTGGATTTAAATGAGGGAGGGCTGTGCAAAGTCACCAGCCTCACTTTCTCCTCTGGAGCCATCTGGGTCTAGTGGCCAGATATAGATCAGGATGACTGGAGATGGCCCTTACTCTCAAGGAGCTTACATTCTAACAGGGGAAGACAACATTGCAAAGGCAGCTGAAAAGCCGGGGAGGGGCATGGAATGAAGCCTGGCTAGTCAGTCAGTTAATAAGCATTTATTAAATGCCTAGCTTATGATATACTAAGCACTGTGCTAAGTGCTGAGGATACAAAGAAAGACAAAAGACAGTCCATACTCTTGAGGAGCTCACAGTCTAATGAG